GTGAGCCTGTGCGTCTCTTATCTCATGTTTTCAGGGAGAAGGCTGTGGCCAACACAGGGAACCAGGGCATAGAACAAGCCATGGACTGGTGAGCCTGAAACACACACAGACACGAACATACTAGTGTTGAACTGCCTGGGTGGACATCTGTCATCATTGAACGTCACTGCTACAGTCAAGCTTGCCCCACTCTGTGGTACTGATTGCCCCAGCATATTCTGGATTCTGTTAACCAACAGGAGCACTTATCTTTCCTGTGCGATGTGCTTTCCTCAGGTTAATGGAACATGAGAATGACCCAGATATTGATGAGCCTTACGTGCCGCCTGTGGGGAACGTCCTGGGAGGAGAAGCAGACAGCCAGCCTACCGCAGAACAACCAACACTAGCAGACACCGCTGAAGGTCAGGGCGTCTTGTGCTTTTTGGGGGCTGGAAAGGCTCTGTCTCGCAATATAATGATGTATACCATGAGACAGTATAAATCTATCTGTCTTTAAATATTCTGACAAAACGTTTATACCATTGTAGCTCTCCCTTTGCTATCTGAGCATATTAGGACATTGTGGGGCAATATTGTTTTCAGTATGATTTTGGCATGACATTTTCTAATTTTTTCAGGTATTTAATTCACATGCCTCTGGGAGCGATACATCTATAAACAGTTTCTTAATGTGTGTGTGTGTATATATATATATATATTCATTCTGATGTACAGTTTTTGGAAAAAAATAAATATATATGAAATTGTATATTACGTTTTTATATATATAAAAACACAATATACAATTTCATGTAATGTGACAAAAGTATTTTATCCATACGGCCCACTCTTATAGTCACTTGTTCAATAGCATGCATTTTCCATCTATAAATTAAGAGGCAATTGTTGTTCATTTACACTGATTATATCGGTTGGTTAGTTTCTGTCTTTTTTTCCTCTGTGTATTGTTTTTTTCTCCAGTTTTTGCTTTCTCTTCTCATTGTCATTAGCTCCACCAAGGAGGTTCAAGTGGTCGGTTCATTTTGTTTGTTTCCCTGTTAGTGTTTGTGCTGGAGGTTTTCTGTGTCCATACTGAGCATTTAAGGTTTGTGGTGTTAGGTGTGTAGGTTAGGCAAGCCTGTTATGTCAGCATGCGACTTTAATTTTTGGTTGGCTTTTTTTTTTCTTTCAATACCACACAGTGCGTGCATATCTGTTTATATCTTTCTTTCACTTTCTCATGTGCGTTTGTTTTGGCTTCAGGGACAGCGGGTGGAGACAGCAGCAGTGCAAAGAGGCCAATGACAGAGGAGGAGAGACTTGAGCAAGTTAGAAGGTCAGAGTGCACACCTTATAGACACCATCCCTCCAGTACTGTATGTGCAACACACAGCTTCTTCTCCTTACATAACAAGGTTACTGTACTACACTTGGATATAGCTGAAAATATCTGTGACCATTAGTTTGGTGTTTGTAGCCAAACGTAATGTGGAAATCGTCCTGTTAGAGAGACTGACATCTTCAATGTGTAAGCAAGGCAAAAATGTGTTTGCCGTCTGTTTTTCAGGCTAGAGGAGCTGATGCGGGTGAAGCAGGCGGAGAGAAGAGAGCGAGAGCGGGAAGAAGAGTTGGAGCGGGAGAAGCAGCGGAGGAGACAGGGCCAAGAGCTGCAGCAGATTCGCCAAAAGTTACAGGACGATGACATGAAAAAACTTGCGGAGCAGCGCAGGAGAGAGAAGATGGAGGACAAATTGGCGAGGTACAGTATTCATTATAACACATTTATTCAGATAGTGATGTTTAAGAATTTGCCCTGGGACTTACAGTAGGGAAAAATGATGTACCTAAAGATCCAGAGACATTGTCCACTATTTTCCTTTTCCTAAAAACATTTACTTCCCTCTGAAATGTATTCCAAGGAGGCTGAAGGTAGAACTTTTACACAAGATACACATTACAAGCCTGATAATCAGACTGAAATGCAATTTTAACTCTACTTCATTATTCTTTATGAATCAGGGTAGCAGATGATGGTATAAAATGATAATTAATGATAAATCATTGTGTTGCTTTATTCCTGTCAGGCAAAGGGTTAAAGATAAGATAGCACGAGACAGGGAGGAGAGAGCACAAAAGGTAACACAATCACTGGTACAGTTACTTGTCCTATTAAAGTTTCCTTTTTATCCTGTTCCCTTCATCTTTCTTTTTATTACCATTTCTGCTGGAATTAATAACAACTTACATGATTGTTTTTTTCATTTTACCTGATCTAGTTTGGAGGCGGTGGGCCGCCAAGCACGGCCGCATCGTCCCAACCTGCCCAGCCCAGCCCCTCGTCACCCACCAGCCACGGCCCTCCACCCACTAAGAAGGAGTATGATGAGTCCAGGATACAGGTACAGCTTCAGTTTACACTCATACATCCAAACACTGAAGCACAGAGCACTCATTGCAGATTAATGTTTAGCATCCTTTGTTGTCTGTCACAAACTTGTGTATCAAAATAGCACAGTAAATAGACCTAAAAGATATTCAAGACCCATCTCTCGTTTATATGTATTTTCAATATGAGACATTAAGTTCAACTGTATCCATTATTTATATTTTATAAAATACGCAGTTTTGGCATGAAATGATCAAATGTAAAGATGGCCAAAAACCCCTCTCTCCTTCATCCTTTCCCTCCTCCATCGCACCTCCCCCCACGTGCTATTTCCTTGCTCTTCCACTTCTTTGCTGTAAAAGGTACGTCTGCTGGACGGCTCGACCATCACAGCAGTCTTCAAGGCTCAGGAGCCGCTGGCGGCAGTGCGTGTCTACGTGCAGATGAACAGCAACACACCTGAGGGTCAGGAAGTCGCGCTGCTGTCGCCCTACCCACGTCATGAATACACAGAACTGGACATGGAGAAGCCCCTCAAAGAACTAGGTGAGCAATGGGCTGGAAACTACGCTTGATTATAGATCACATTACTGTATTATACATACTTTAACTTATTCTCAGTGTATTTGTTTTACCTTCTGTATGGACCGAAAACTGATCATTCAGCAGCTGTATCTGGCTTTTTTCATGACTTTCAACTTTTTTTCTTTTTAGGTTTGGTGCCTTCAGCTGTGCTGGTTGTTACCAAAAAGTGAGATCAAGATTGGATCTGCTCTGTGAGCCTACCTCACCACTTCCACTGGATCAACACGAGACCCGAATGATCCGAGAAGAGCCCCCACCTTTTTAGTATCACTCAATAAGCCAGCTAACTTAACTAAAGCAGAGAGATGCAGTTTGAGACTGTGTTCACATTGTGTATAGCTACTTTTAGGTTTTGGAGATGTGAAAATGAAAAAAACAAACAGTATGGTTAACTCACTGAATGAGATGCCTTATTTCATCCTGGCCTTGATTGATTACATTTGATATAGTTTGGTTTGTGTGCAGTGAGATGGATATTGACTTTTACTTATTCAAGAACAAATTGAAGATAGCTGGCTTCTGATGGGATACTGCTTCACGGTCTTTAGAACACAATTATAAAAAACGAAAGAAAACAATTCTTCCATTTTAACGTGATCCTTGCAAAGTACCACACAAGACCTACTCAATTGGTTCTGAAAGGGCCTTTCATTTAATCCGCACGATCTTCCTGATTTTGTGACATTCTACTTTGCTAGTTTTTTTTTATAAGTTAAAATATATTGACTGTTATGTTTGCATAATCACCAAGAATCTACTTAAAATAAAGCTGACTCATATGTAAAAATTAGTTTGTTGATATTCTACATTTTTCTTGCCATGAAAACACCAAAACCAACAATAAACTGATTCTGTTAATGTAGCTAAAGCCTGATATGTTGTGTGCCATAGACCACCGTTGTTGCCCAAAATATCACAACTACAACAACGCTGTTTTAGGAAATTATGTAGCTTATTATATATTTGTGACCCATTTTTACAGGTTTGTCTTCAGTAGGAACAAAATGAGCTTGGGGTTACGGAAATGCTGCGTTCCAGACAACTCGGAAGTTATCGATCTCAAAATAGAAAAAGTACTATGAACGCCGCTTGTGAACGCCGCCTGACTTCACGAGTAGCAGCTGAATGACGTCAACCAACAATGGCAGTTCCCATGGAAGCACACCTAAATGGTAAACCATAAACTAAAAGGCAACAAAGTACATTTGCTTGTATTTTATTAAAATAGAACATCCTATCATGTATTGTAAAGTCTTTTCTGCATGTAAACTGATGTACAAATATGTTGCCAATGTTATAACCTTGGTAACCTACACCATAATAAACTTAATTCTCATCATAATGGAAAGTTATGTGACACGGTTAGTTTCAGGCATTTTATTGAACCGTGTAAAAGTGGAATTGGCCAAAGACTATCGAGCATCTACAGTACACCTGTTCAGGACTGCCCACTGGATTTTTAAAAAAAGTAGTAAACTGCAACGCCAGGACACGCTCAGGGGACATTTTGATACGTCACATTAGGAAAAGCACAGGTGTAAATAATGAAATGGCTGCTTCAGTTTCACAATCCTGGAATTATCCATGCTGGCTTACTGTCACACTCCCATCACTTACTGGGACAACTGAAGAGAAGAGAGCCGTCGTTAATGTTAGGAAGACTTGAGCTCTTCCTGCTACGACATGTCAAAATGTCTGCTGTGAGAAAGGCCTGACCAGGGCCCAAAACACTTGTGTATAATTGGACTGTTGCCAATGAGCGTTTAAGACAAAATGTGAGCACTTGCCCAATTATATGAGTTTAATGGACTTTTATTCCCAGGTGGTAGCACCCTAAAGGACTTCCAAGTTTTAATATGAAAGGGAACAAGTAGAGCCGGGTTCTTAATTTGATATTCAAGATGACTGCAGCCTCTGAAAGCTGCTGGCTATGCGACTCTCGCACTAACACTAGCTGATCCTGTGTCAATGAGATTCTCTTAAAATTCCTTCTAATGTGAGACTAGAGGCAATGCAGTGATGAACAGAAAACGCTGCTGCAGATATGAGCAGGACAGAGGCCAAGAGTTTTATAATTAATGAGTGTGACAGCTGATTATTTCTCCCCTCATTATGGAAGGAAGAGCAAAAGACACACAACACAAAACAGCTCTGTTGTGACACACTATAAAACACCTTTATATACATTAGAAAAAACAACAAATAGCCTACTCTGGAATGGTACAAAATGTCTGCTGTAAAGTTGGATAGACTGGATGACTTTAAAACTGGAGCAAAGGGGTTGGCTTGCAAACAAATATAAAAATATTTCTGATTAAAATGGAGAGACACTGATGTACTGGGCGTCACCGATTCCTTTCATCATCTTTCCACCTGTCCCTCAGAACCAACACTGAAATGACAGGACATGTTGAAAAGAGCTCAACTGCAGTCCCTTATTAAAACAAATCCAGGACAGCGAAGAAACGCAGAGCGAGGACGGAGAGGAAGTGATGCTGGGATATTATTTCAGCAGGTGGACCGGCAGGACTGGGTATTACAGTTTGCTGGTCAGCTGAGAGGCTACCCAGGGTCAAACAGCTTCCTGTGGCCTTTTTGGTGTCACAGTCACTGCTGCCCTCTCTAGCTGGGAGGGTAGTAGCCCTGGTTGTAGTTCCAGGTGTTCTGGTAGCCATAGCTGCCGTACTGTGGTTGCTGGAAAAGAATCACAACAAACAGGTAATAATTTTGCTTTGTTTTGTAATTTTATACTTTACCATAGTACACCCTACCTTTACTATAGCATCAGTTTACTTTACATTAAACAATTTTATTACGTATTTGGACCTCAATAAAACCCACTATGCAAAGGTCATTTAACTGCCTTTAAATCATTAGAGCCATATTGGTTCATATATGGATTTCCAAAATTTTTCATCTAAAACAATCATCTTCTATTAAAAAACATTTGCTGTAAGTGTTTAAATCTCAAATCCTACCTGGTACCAGCTTCCGTAACCCCCGTAGCCAGCCTGTGCGCTCATGTCGGCGCCCATTACGGGAGGAGGGGGTGTGGTGATGGGGACATGCGGCATGGTAGGTGGGACTTGTGCAGACACAGCAACAGCAGATCCGTCGTCACTTTTGCTCAACGTCTCTGAGTCGTCGTCCCTTAAAAAAAAAAGAAAAAATTATATTTATTTATATTTCAGTGCAGATTTTATTTACACAGCATAAAAAAAAAAAAAAAAAAACATCAATGCAGATTTCAAGGTTTTTTTTGTCTTAAAATGATTATCTCGGTTAGGGGACATAAACCATTGTCACTAAGGCAGATGGCACTAGTATCAATGAGATGATGTTGATGGATGTCAATGAGAAAAAATAAACTTATTTTACACTGCTGGCAGATTTAATTGAATGAAGAAAAAAAGTGATTCTAAGATTTAATAATAGACAAAAAGTCTGTTAAGATTGAGATTTTTCATTCCTCTCATTATAATAGAAGCTAGCATGATGTTCCAAGGCTACAAAGCTAACGTGTACATACATTAAACACATGAATGAGCTATTGGATGTATGTTGCTATCATTACAATTACAGATGTGTTAATTGATTATTTTGTGACAACAAGGGGATCAAACAAAATAGTACTTGTGACACCATAGCAACCATAAGCTATTTTATGTTATGAAAAATAAATGTTCCTTCTGAACTTGATCAATTTAACTTTGAGTTGGTTGCTAATTCCCCTCTCACCTGTTCTCTGCTCCTCTCTTTGTTCCACCCAGCTCCTTCAGCAGTTTCTGGTGCTCTTCATAGACAGACAGCACACTGCAGAGGACAGACAGGACAGGTAAGACAATGACCAACAGTAAGATGATTATGTTTAGGTACCATCAGGGTTTACGTAACTAATTGGATTTTAAATATTTATAATAAGACTTCTCATTGAACTCTGACCTCTGGATAGAGTTGCTGTAGTCCTCGGCAAACTGCAGGCCTCTCTGTGAGAAGAGGATCTTGGTGTGCGGGTCGAGGGGGGCTGCCAGGGCTCGTGTCACGCACTCCTGCACCGCCTCTGCTGAGGTGTCCCCCGACACCTCCAGCTCCAACAGGTTCATGTGCAGTTTATCATTATCCTGAGGGAGGACACATGGAGAGACGGAGGCAAGTAAAAGTAGAGTTACTACATGCCTTATGTACAGGTGCTGGTCATATAATTAGAATATCATCAAAAAGTTGATTTCTTTCAGTAATTCCATTCAAAAAGTGAAACTTGGATATTATATTCATTCATTACACAGACTGATATATTTCAAATGTTTATTTCATTTAATTGTGATGATTAAAACTGACAACTAATGAAAATCCCAAATTCAGTATCTCCGAAAATTAGAATATTACTTAAGACCAATACAAAAAGGATTTTTAGAAATGTTGGCCAACTGAAAAGTATGAACATGAAAAGTATGAGCATGTACAGCACTCAATACTTAGTTGGGGCTCCTTTTGCCTGAATTACTGCAGCAATGCGGCGTGGCATGGAGTCGATCAGTCTGTGGCACTGCTCAGGTGTTATGAGAGCCCAGGTTGCTCTGATAGTGGCCTTCAGCTCTTCTGCATTGTTGGGTCTGGCGTATCGCATCTTCCTCTTCACAATACCCCATAGATTTTCTACAGTGTTAAGGTCAGGTGAGTTTGCTGGCCAATTAAGAACAGGGATACCATGGTCCTTAAACCAGGTACTGGTAGCTTTGATACTGTGTGCAGGTGCCAAGTCCTGTTGGAAAATGAAATCTGCATCTCCATAAAGTTGGTCAGCAGCAGGAAGCATGAAGTGCTCTAAAACTTCCTGGTAGACGGCTGCGTTGACCTTGGACCTCAGAAAACACAGTGGACCAACACCAGCAGATGACATGGCACCCCAAACCATCACTGACTGTGGAAACTTTACACTGGACTTCAAGCAACGTGGATTCTGTGCCTCTCCTCTCTTCCTCCAGACTCTGGGACCTTGATTTCCAAAGGAAATGCAAAATTCACTTTCATCAGAGAACATAACTTTGGACCACTCAGCAGCAGTCCAGTCCTTTTTGTCTTTAGCCCAGGCGAGATGCTTCTGACGCTGTGTCTTGTTCAAGAGTGGCTTGACACAAGGAATGCGACAGCTGAAACCCATGTCTTGCATACGTCTGTGCGTGGTGGTTCTTGAAGTCCTGACTCCAGCTGCAGTCCACTATTTGTGAATCTCCCCCCACATTTTTGAATGGGTTTTGTTTCACAATCCTCTCCAGGGTGCAGTTATCCCTATTGCTTGTACACTTTTTTTCTACCACATCTTTTCTTTTCCTTCGCCTCTCTATTAATGTGCTTGGACACAGAGCTCTGTGAACAGCCAGCCTCTTTAGCAATGACCTTTTGTGTCTTGCCCTCCTTGTGCAAGGTGTCAATGGTCGTCTTTTGGACAGCTGTCAAGTCAGCAGTCTTCCCCATGATTGTATAGCCTACAGAACTAGACTGAGAGACCATTTAAAGGCCTTTTGAGTTAATTAGCTGATTAGAGTGTGGCACCAGGTGTCTTCAATATTGAACCTTTTCACAATATTCTAATTTTCTGAGATACTGATTTTGGGGTTTCCATTAGTTGTCAGTTATAATCATCACAATTAAAACACTTGGAATATATCAGTCTGTGTGGAATGAATGTATACATTATACAAGTTTCACTTTTTGAATGGAATTACTGAAATAAATCAACTTTTTGATGATATTCTAATTATATGACCAGCACCTGTACTTAGATTTGGCTTTTTACTTCTTGAAGTACACACATGAAGGTACATTTTTAGTTTGCTCGTACCAAACAAAGTACTTGTCACAAAGAATATGAGATGCGATCTAAACGTGGTTGATGGACAAACTAACTGGAAGCTTTGTGTATAATCTTAAACTTGCACAAAATCTAAATTCCTCAAAAACAAATAAATTCCAGCAACTGGACACAAATTTTGTCCCAGAAAATGAAGCAGCTTTACAACAAAACTACACTGACATTCTTGAACTTTTTTTTTTTTAAATAGCTGAGTAGAGACTGATCAAAAGTTAGTTAATAATCTCACCGGACTGATCTCCAGCGCCTCCTGTAAAACCCTGCGGGCTCTGCTGGGGTTCCTGCCCAGTTTCAGAAGCAGACGAGCCAGCTTGATGGAGTAGAAGGCGTGTAACATCGGCCTCTCTTTGGATTCGGCCACCGCCTCCCGCAGCAAGGCCTCCGATTTGTCCAGCTGGCCCGCTCGTCGCTCCAAAGCTACCCTGCGAAGACGTACCACCGCCAACCCTGGTAGGGTTTTCTCCAAGGCCTCCAGCACTCGGCGAGCCTCGATCAAGTCACCTGATGGAGAAGATGAAGGAGTTTGCGTGAGTGTGGCGGCTAAAATACATGAAATACAAACGTCTATCATAGTTTTATTTGAGGACTCCTATGTTGGATCAATTCTATAGTTTTTAAGCTTTTTTAATGTTTTTGCATTAGATGGATTCGTAAGGAGGTGTTATTTAAATTGACTGCAAGTAACTTTACCCAAATAGTCCGGAAAGATCAAGACCTACTTAAGACATTTAACATTTCTAAGAAAGAAAAGAGAACAAAGCTGTGTTTGTACAGTGTGTTGTTGTTGTGTCGTACCGTGCCTCTCCTCGAAGGTCGCCCACTGCATATGGATGTTGGGTTTATACGTCAGGTGGATCTCACAGGCTCGCTTGAAAACGGCCCGCGCCTCATCCACACTCTGCGGCTCCAGGTACTGAGTGTACTGAACAACACATAAGAACGTGTTACACAGTGATCAGTCAAGCACACAAACTTCCCATTTTAATCTAGTCTTTAGGCTCACAAAGATACATGCACTCTTCAGTCTGCATTTTCTAAACATCTTTTGCACACGAAAATAATGTCCTTTCCTTACCCTGATCCAGGAATCCTCATACAGAGCGCAGGCAATCAGGCAGCGCTCAAAGAGGACACGAACCCTGTGGTCGTCCTGGGGAACCGTAGCTTCCTCTAATCCTTCATGAGGCTGGGCGGCGACCTCTGACCCCTCAGTGGCCACCTGGTTTGGATCTAGTAGGAGACAAAGGTGTCTAAACTGCAGATGCTTAGATGCTCACTCAAATCTTGTAGAATCCCTGAGACAGCTGACAGTGGCTTCATTATGTCGTAGGGCTGGGTGATATGGGCAAAAATGTTTTCACGATAAAAACATTTCATACCATTTGATATCGATAATGATCAAAATGTCAAATCATTATTTCTTTCAAGTTTAAAGGTTGATTTTTGCTCCTAAGTGAAAATTTAAGAAACCAGATGGTTAATTTTGTGCTTTTAAACTATTCTTTATAGTCAGAACATTATAAGCATTTCATGCCAAACAGTGGATCACTTGACAAATCTGAGGCAGAACATTCAAAACAATTATAATATTATTAGTAAATCTTTTTTCAGTCCCTTTTCCTCAACAAATTGAATATCTTAATAGAAAAATTAAGTTAAATCAACTTAATTCATTTATCATTAAATCAAACATTTATTGATGATATACTGAACATTTGTTATATTGTTATTGAAGAAAATTATATTGCGATAAATATCATTATTGTTTCATTGCCCAGCCCTATTATGTCGTCACCTTGGTTGGGCTCTTTGGTGTCATTGTTCAGCTGAGCGATCTCCCAGTCCAAGTAGGAGTTCCAGGCCCGCAGCTGGAGGCGATCCAGTGGCTTGACGTGGAAGTAGGGACGTTTGATCTGTAGGCCAGAGAATAAGGAATCAGCTTCTGAAGTAGCAAGTGATGGAAGTGTGTAACAAGTTCAATAAATGTACAATAAACAGCAGAATATTTAAAGGAAAACTCTTGTTATCGTTTGCTGTAAAACTGCAAACAATAGTTAAAAATTATACTGTGGACAAATGAACTAGATAGAACAGTAAGTATATAGATTTATTAAGCACATATTGAGAATTCGGGTTTTGGTTTACAGAAAGGTCTGGATTTTGAAAATCAATACATTTTTTTAAGCCCAATAAAATGTTTAGCCCAGAATATTGAAAACATCAAAGAGGGGGAGGAAACGCACAAGCTGGTGATGGAAAAAGAGCAACAGAAAACAAAACTCACAGCGTCTTCAAAGTGCCATCTCTTGCGGACTTCTCCCTCATTGTCCTGGTACACTTTGTCCCTGCGAACCAGCACTTGTTCCCTTATCTTCTGCATCAACTCCTCCTAAACACAATGTTTAAATTAAACAATTAGATATTGTACTCTCTCTTTAATTTATGTCTCATGAGTATATGTATACATGTTTAAAACTTAACATTACGCTCAGCACGGAAATCCTGTCAGGGCTGAGTGTGAGGCAGTCAGATGTTACTCACTGTGTCTGTGCCCTCCGGTGTGGCGGGCTCTTCCTCCCCTGGCGGCCTCTCCTCCTCCTCCTCCTGGGCCTGTTCAGCACGCTCTGCCTTCTGACTCTGGCGGCACAACGTCCTCAGCTCCTCGTACTCGTCTGGGGAAAGCACCTCTTTGGGCTCGTGGCTGTTTAGGTGTTCTTTGAACCTGGCGGAGAGGGCAGAAGGACGCAAAAATGAGATTAGTGGGAGAAGAAATGAGCGAGAAATATGAACATATTACATCATGACTTTCATGAATACCAGACTGAAAACAAATATTCATTATCTGAATTAGAATATACATTTATCATTACAATAGTAAACCTGGCACTGACAGTAACACATTTACATCAGTATTTCTGTCTTGTATAAACTGATTTCAAGAAATGTAGATTGGCATACACACACACACTTGACTGTGTGTGTGTGTAGTCTTACTTGTCGTAGTGGGTGTTGTACAGCTGGGTGGGGACTTTGAGGACTCTGTCTAGGACGGCTGTTGCGTTCTGCATGTTCCCCTGCTCCTTCTCCCACTCGATATAAAGATCCCAAAGCCGGTCCGAGTGGAAGTCCAGACCTGCTGCCTGAACTGCTTCCTCAAACACACTGAGGGTTGAGGTTGGAAAACAAATAAAGCATGATAACAGCTTTCACAGGCAGCAGCTTACTTCAAAATATGTCTATTTTTATTTTGAGGTGAACTGGCAGCAAAAAAACAACAATAAAATGTGAGTGTGTTCATCTACCTGCGGATCCGTGCGGGCGACTCAGGCAGGTTCATGTCCAGTGTTCCCAGCAGCAGATTGATGTAGTGGATCCACAGATCTACACTCAGAGGGATTACCTGGAGACCCTGAATACACACCTGACACAATACACAACAACCATGAACATTAGCTAATGAAAAACTGTGAAAAACACTTCTGTAATACACCTAATAATAATTTATAATGGTGTGGGAGAAGAAGAAACGCAAAATTGTTTTACCTCCTCTGCTTTGTTGTTGTACCCAGCGCGGCGCTCCAGATCAGCAAATTTCTTCCAGTAGCCGTAGCAGAGCGGGTAGCGAGCGAGGAAGGCCTCTAGCGCTCTGCGTGACGCTGTGATGTGACTCTGAGCAGATGAGAGAAAATGTAATGTCACGTGAGGCTACAGCAAGCTTCCAGTCCAAACATGCTTTCTGACATCATGGGGACGCTAGAGGTCAATATTTCAAAGTTTGAGGTGGTAATGCATCAATACTGGCGGACAATACGATGGTTTCCTACATTTTTTTTCTGAACCCCAGTGGTTTTCCTCTGTATCTCCAATGGAAACAACAAACACACACCTCTTGCTCGCAGTACTGCAGCAGGTCGGTCCAGCTGGTGAAGTCTTGAGGATTGTCATGGGCGGCTTTCCACAGTCGTTCAAAGTCAGTGGGCAGTTCTCCCTCCTCGTCTTCTGCAGATGGCGGCATGGAGAAGGAAGCAGGGCCGGGGTCAACGGGGGCCTCAGGGGCCTCGGTGGCTCTGCCATTCTCTTCTGACATCTCTACCATCTCAGTTGGAGGTGGCGCAGGAACCTCAGAAGCCTCCATGGCTAAAGAGTTTGTAGATCAAAAGGTAAAAAAAAAAAAAAAAGACAATCTCCACTAACATAACTGAAGGGCATTATAAAGATAAGCCCCTCTAGTAACACTACTTGTGTTCACCATAACTTTAGACATTTCTCATGAAGCTACCAGGAGCGGAGTGACTGTCACTGAATCTTGCCCTTTGGCTATTACTTCTAACCTCCTTAAAAAGCTATTTCAATTGATCAGTCACACACTACTGGTGTGCCGTTTCCACTACTGACCAATGGATGATAGGCCATTCATAAAAAGCACAAGAATGTCACAGCCAATCATTTTAACATACCTTCAACCTGTGGATCAAACACTTATTCCATGATATAGCTATTTTCACTCAACAATAATGACGGGGAAGTTAACAATTGCTTCAAATACCACAGTTTGCTGTAAGGTAAAACTACTACAAAAAAATGTAATGTGATGTAATTCATGAACTTTCTAGTTCCTCTGCTTACTGGACAGTCTCATGGAAAAGGGCCAGCAGGTGTTTCAACAATACAACAACAACCACCATGTATGAAAAACCCATGCAAATGCAATTATTATTATTATTACAAACCAGAATTAAACCAATTACACAACCTTTAAGCATGACTTTGACCCTATTTGAGGTCAAATCCAAATAGGGTGTGGTGTGACTGATTTGATAAAAGTTGATTAAAGATTACACTGAGCAGTCAAACAGGTTCAGCAGCTGAACATGGATGTGCACTGTAACCACTGTCTGCAGCTTGTAGTCCAAGCATTATTAAATGATCCAACAAAACAAAAATCGATAGTTTTTTCGCTTTTCTTCTTGCCACACCTCCTGTCTACACCTGCAGAGGTATGTTTCATTCATTGAAAGTTCAGTGCACTGAGTTTAGACCATGGTTTAGACAGATTTATTCTCCACCGCAGCGCTGACTCCAGTGCATTTGAATTGTCACACAATTTGTGACAAAAGGTGATGAGCAACCGCAAACCACGTAGTTAAAGACAGGAGGGTACTTTAGTTAAAGTTAGTTAAGAGAACACTGCTGTTTCGTGGTGTGTTGAAATCGCGTTAGCCTAGCCTAGCATCTCATGTTTGCCCTTTTAACAGGTCCGATCGGAGCCTTTTTTCCAAATGCTTGCAGATGAAACAACCCCCCAGCGATATCTGTGAAACGACAATGCGGTGTATTGTAAATGCACTAAACGTTAATCAAACTACCTGAAGACTCTTCGAGTTCCCCGTTGCCGCTCATCTCCTCACAGCCTTCCGCCGCCATGATGGAATAGCGTTCGCTGACGTCATCCATGCGCGACAAGACACTCGGGATATAACAGTGAATATTTACTGACTTAGATTTTAAAAAATTGTTATTATGGCACGGTGAATGTATTAACTGTGTAAAGTTTCAGTAAAAATTAAAAAGACTCTCTTGTCACCAAACTTTTTTACTTCACATTACTGTAACAAACAAAAAACGTATTTATTTTTATACCTTATATGAATGTATATTCTGTTGATTCTCGAAATGTAATAAGAAAGATATTAAAACATAATTTGTGGTAGGCCTACTGGTTCAAAAAACAAGGTTTCCCTTTCCCTCTTATTAGTTACTGTACCTAAGGTGCAAAAGAAAAACTTACCTGAGAAACTTTTTCAGATTTCTGCAAACAAGAAACCATGGGCACACCCACAAGCTTATCCTTTTGTTTTTAAAAATACAATATGCCCTGATAAGTTTCACTGTGTGTGTTAAAATTATTTACGTTCTTATGTAGGCTACATAAATTATTAGCTGAGATTTCATTATGACAATAACACAATCCTACTCTATTTTGTACCTTGTGTTAAATTACACTCTTTATAACTTCCTCTGTGATGCATAATATACTTATTTAACCTGACCCGGTTAAAGCCTTTTAATATTTTCTGGAATCTCAGAATGTAATGTTCAGATTTAGCAGGATATAAAAACTCCTTTACTACAGTCTAAAGCTGCACACTGCTCAGACAGCGCCCAACCAACACCAATATTTTAAAGTTGGTAGTAGCCTAGTTGGTTTCAGTGTGAATGTAAACCAACCGTCAGTTCCACACTGCCCAAAAGCAACTGACCAGACAGACTTTTGTTGCCTATTTTTTCTTATTTAAGTCACAAGGCTGCAATCACTTTTTGGCAAGTGGAAAACTACTTGTTACTGGGTGTATTGGCCCTTTAAAGATATTTTAACAGGTTGAAAGGACTGGGTGAGCCATTATCAGCCATAACTCAAATATAATGCTCATGACTAAAATCAATTCATTTTGAGAACCTTTTAGTCACAAGTAGGTGGCATCAGTTTTTTTGGCAAAGTGTAAAACTTAATTGGCCATATGGGTTGTATTGGCCATTTAAATGTATTGCAACTGGTAATAAGGACTGACTGAGCAATACCCTGTCTTTTTGGTAAGTGCAATACAACAAACTACATACAGTATTTCGACTGGTAAAAAGGTGGACTGGTTGGCACAGAGCAAGCAAAATTAGTGTGATAAGGATAATTGCCAGAGAGACACTTCCTTTATTTTATTTATAGCCTAACCCAGCCATGAATATAAATATGAACTACGACATTAAACATAGGCCTACCAAACACACATTTCATCGGCAACAATAGGCTAATTTTATTGCTTATAATAACGTTTTGTCAGGCCAGATAAACTGCAGACACTTCAACTGTGATTATTCCGTTACAAGAAACTTTTGTTTCACAAAGACATAGGCTACCTTTGATACCACGGACATAAAGTGATGTTTATTTGCACGTTATGACTGAGATAATGTACAGATACTGGGCGTTACAGCTTTAACATGCTGCGTGCGCTCCCGCGGAGGGCAATCCATTTTCGGCTGACGGTCACTTTTCGGCTCGACCGATTACGCAGGAAAGGAGGGGCTGTTCACAGACGGGTCCGCTGCTATGGTCAGTTGTCAGTATAAGAGAGAGAGAGAGACGAGCGAGTAATGGACACCTTGCTAACCTACACTGACATCAAAGAAAGTCGTGCGCGCTGACGGCACGTGTTGTGCAGAATTCTGCATGCCTGCCGAGAATTGCATGCATCTCGCGGGTGATAATAATAACTTTGATTTATATAGCGCCTTTCACTAACCCAAGGACGCTTGGTAAACAAAAAAAGAAAAGGGGGGTGCTAAGAGGTGTGGGGCCAGGGGAGATTAAAGCCCATAGACCTCAGTGAAGAGGTATGTTTTAAGGGCTATTATAGAGGAGGCAGAGCGGATGGCAAGAGGAAGCTTGTTCCAGAGTGATGGTGCACTGACACAGAAAGCTCTGTCACCAAATGTCCGGAGCCTGGAATTAGGGACAGCAAGCAGGTCATTGTCGGAAGACCGCAGGGACCGTGACTGAGTGTAGGGATGGAGTAGATCTGTGAGGTACTGAGGTGCAAGTCCATGGAGAGATTTGTAAGTCAGTAGGAGGATTTTATATTTGATCCGGGACTTAACTGGAGCTTCTTCAGGATGGGAGTGATGTGAAGTCCAAGTTTCGCTCATTTATATTGAGAAAAGAGGTGGATGCAAGACTCGGCAGGTAGCCTAGTCCTATGTTCTGCGGTATTAGGCATCCACTTCTTTAGGTCCTTTTCAGGCACTTTGGTGTGCTTATTGAACAAAAGCGGTTATCACTACATATATTTGCTGAATGTCAAGGAATGTTACTAAGTGTATTAAAATATAGACTTTAAACGTTCTTAAAATATGTACTTTGAACCGTTCATCATCAGCTTTAGACTTCACCCGACTGACTAATTTTTGGCAGCATCTTATGGACTATCTCCCAGCATTAATCCTGATGATCATCTTATTAAAGTTATATTGCCTTTTTCGTGAGTTAATTTCAGCACGTGAACTAAGTAACTGTGGGTTCAATAGTGTTTGAGGTTATAGCCTATTGCTTTAAATCAACAATCCAGTCAAAAACATCTGATGTCTCATTAAACTATAGAAACGCAGTTAGGAAAGAACAATTTCATTCAAAACCAGGGACTTCTTTTACATTTGGTCAACTTTATTTTCACTTGGTCTCATCTTTTAGAGTACATCTGACAATTTTGATTGACAGCTGAAGTCTGTTCCTCAACTTCCATTTCCACGATTCAAGCCACCGCCAACAAAATTGTAGCAACATGTACATTTATGATCATAAAAACAATCAGGAAGACAAACTCATAGAACAAAACTCCTAAAAAGGTCAGATGATTTCACTAGTCAGGACACAATCCAGAGCCTCAAGAGAATCATTTGAATATTCACGACTGCTAGTGAAACACGTTCCAAGCACAAGATTTGACCTGTTCATGAAGATCCAAATGACACGCTGGAAAAACGTGGATGCTCCTGACGTCTAGTTACACATGAAAAATCTAAACAACTTGAAAGTTCTCACTCTTCCTCAAGTGCATTAAAAATAATCTAGTAAACAACACTGGAAAGAGAACTCGATAAAAGAAAGAAAGCAGGATGATCCACAAACATAAGTGGTTCAGTAGCCCTGAAGTGATTCCCCTGGCCAAGTTTGCTCAAAAGTGAACTGAAAATCTCTCTGTGCAGCGGCTGAACGACTTCATCACTTTTGAAGCGATATTAAATCATTTCCATGCACACAAATTCATCCCTGATGGATTCAGGGAGAGAATGAACTGGACAGGATCGGTAAGAAAGATGATTTCTTTCCATTTTGTGGAATCAGGAAAGTGAAAGTACTGCAGGGATGAAAGGAAAGTGTTGAGCCACACAGCCGACAGTTGGCAAGCCTTTTCCAATATCTAATGTGGCGAGTGAAAGAAGGTCGAGCTCCTAGCTGGTTGAAGTGCTTTGCTTAAAAGAGGGATGGAATGAATTTCTTTTTTGGAGAGTTTCAAGTCAGAAACAGAGAGGGAATCCCCAGCAGGTGGAGCATGTGCTTTGAATGTGAACCTTAATTTTAAATAGCAAACAATCCCCACACAGTGATCTTTTCTCTGAGGCAGACTGGATGTACAACCAAGTGGACAATTCATTTAAAAAAGTTAACCGAGTCCTCGAATGTTTTCTTTCTTATCCCCAAAGATTCATTACAATGACATTTTTTGTGTTGTTCAATTGTCATCTCTCTGACAAAACGTGACAAACATAATTATCTATCTAGTAGTAACCCTCTTTTAAATTTTTATTCTTTTTTATAGGTATTACACTGCAACTGAACACAAGAGGGACACGGCAGAGACGTTGCGTGGCTCAGTTCGACTAAACATATCAACATGGGGGGTGTGTGTAGGGATTAAAACTGTGTATTTAATGTGTTGTGTGTGTGTTTATGTCCTTAAATTTCCTCAATGGCTATCCAGTAGTCTTGCTTTAGTTAGTCATGGGTATTAGTGCCTTTTTCTGGTTCTTTCTTCCACTTAATCCAGGTCAGTCATCTTCTCCTCCTGCTGCTGCTCCTCCTCCTCTTCCTCCTCCTCCGTCTCTGTGGTTACTGAAGATTCACAGCCCAGTCCAGCCCTGCGTTCATGCCGGGCTTGCGGAGCGTCAACACTGACATGGAGGCATCGAACTCAAACTCTACCTGGCTCTCCTGACCTTCTGCAAAACAAGAAGAGAGACAGTATTAGAGAAGGTGGACCACGGGGAGAAAAAAGGTTTGTGAATCTCACCTCACAGAGCTTGCAAAATCCCACATAACCAAACAGTCAATCTTTAAAGAAAAAAAAGGGGGATAATAAGAACTTTGTAATCTTGAGGCTGCAATACGACTGGCTGAGAGTTGGAAAACTACCACCTCCAGGAAGTGGCTTTATCCAGCGTAAGTTAATCTGTTGACCATGGCAAACCTTTTCACAGCCATCCTCTAACAGACTTTCACACTTTTAGTTTCTCTAAACCTCTGTCTGAAGGAGTTTAAGTGCACACCAAGTTTAGTTGTCCACACAAAATAGTGTTTGACCTCCAAGACTGAGCAAAAAACCTTCGGTATTATATAAATTTGAGGAAGTGAGATTTGGCTTGTTGGGACATGAACAGGTAAAAATAAATGAGACCTGAGAAGCCAAGGTGATATTCCTCAAATACCAAATCATACAGTAATAAATTTTAAAAAATGATTTCACCTATTTAAAATTTTTTTATTTGGCAAAAGATCAGATTCAGTCCCACAAGTCTTTTGTTATAAAGAGAAACTATTTAGCAGCTATCTCTTTAGCACAACTTTTAAAAGTGTGTTCACATTAATTCAACCACTGTACTGGAATGTTTTTTGATCATTCAATTTATTCAAGTATAAAAAAAAATAAAACGTAAAAAATGCTGTTGAACTCAACAGATTCCTTCAGGCAGCATTTTATCTTAATGGAATCAACCTGTGAGAATTACCATGCGAGAGAAATGCTGCATGACACTCACCAGCAGCCTTAAGGGTAACCTTGTTGGGCTTACTGGCTCCTAGTATGACAATGCGTTCAATCCAGGAGCGGGTGGAAAACTGGGCATCTGGAGCCAGGTTACTGTGGACCGAGCAGAGGCATGTATTTAATATTTAAGCAGAGATGTTTCACAATATAAGAATGATAACCCCTACAACACAAATCCTAAATGGTTCCTCACTTAACTTTGTACCTCATCTTACTACAATTCTTAATGTTGCTGTTTTTATTTGCTTTTACCACTTAAGAAACTCTTAGTGTATTTCTTGAATAGTAACATCACTAATGACTTCAATTGTCTTACTGTGTTTTTATTGCATTTATGTTTAATAATTCTATGTTTGACACAATAAAGTTTTGATCTGTACTGAAATATCTAAGAGCCTATTTGAGGGTTGAGTTTTACTTAAAAAGAAGCGACTGAAAAAGAATAGTCACTCACACAGAAGAGAGGACGTTGTTGGCAAAGGACAGCCTCCTGTGGATGAAATCCTTCTTTTCATAGTTGAAGGTGTGGCCATCGTCTATGTAGAGCTCACCCTCGGCAGCTCTCTGTCAGACAAGAGGTAAAAACTTTTACAATACTATTTGGCATGCAAACATGACATACCAGCAGTGGATGCTGCAGCGGTCATCAGTGTATGCACGATCAAGTTACCTGGGGGTTAAGAGCCACAAATAACGTGTAGGGATCGTCCTCCATGCAGGTGGAAGACCTCCGAACTCGAAGCTTCCTGGGAATAATGGAGCCGCCTCGCTGGAACACGGGGATCTAAGGAAAAAAAAAATCCGTATTAAAACCAGAGGAAAGGAGTAAAATACTAAACATTAAAATAATGTGGAGGGCCTTGAAATGTATATATGTGTGATTGTAAATTATCTCCAAATCATTACATGCAGACATGTAGTGCTATATGAAAGTACTTTGCACATCTGGGTCTTACAGAGCTCATGGTGACAGGGATGTAGAGGTTCTGGGCGCCATTGTGCTTCTGGAAGGTGTGGACGTCAAACCAAACCTGAGAAACACACAAAACAAGTTTCTTCAAGACCAAGTACACCTGAATCAGTCGTCGTGTTACTGACAGTGTCCTATAAAAAGATCTTTTCTTGAGAGAACCATTCAACACCAGAAGAAAAAAAATTCATTAACTGTGTCTGTTACCTCGTCTTTGCCAGGCAGGTAGGCTGTGACTCCCCTGGATCCCTCCTCAGTAACTGGGTGCACCAGCAAGTCTCTCCCTGCAGCAGAGTTAAGTAATGTCAGTGGATCTGATGATGAACAGCTGTCACTTTATCAAAATCACAATATAGCCTAATGCAATTTTCAAATCGCGGGAGGCGCATCATTTGTTAAAAAAGGTGAAATGTGTCTCAAAACACCATTTAAAATTAAATACCGTCATGCTGCAGAGACATCCTGGCCTACACATCATACTCTATAAACTCAGGGAAACATCTATGTTTGGAATAAATCCCCTCAATAAATAATGAAATAAATAAAAATCACACCATAATAATTTTAATGTTTTTCAATGAAAATTAGAATGATCTAAAAAAAAATAAATCACCATTTCCTCTAATATGGCAATATCTGTCAAAATAATCGCAAGTCATTTAGCCCTCAAACCATGTCTGCATGTAAAAACTGATTTGAAGATTTTATTCAAATTTTTTTCTCTTGAATGTTCCCAAGCTAAACAGGAGTGATCCACGCCCAAATAAGGCTGCAACTAACGATTCCTTTCATCATCGATTAATCTGCGGATTATTTTCTTGATTAATTAATTAGTTGTTTGTTCCATAAAGTGTAGAAAACAGTAAAAAAAAAATAAAAAAGTTGATCGGTGTTTCTCAAAGCCAAAATATGATCT